TATTATGGATCAGATAGTGACTCTGTTTTGGCTTCAAGAAAAGTGAAGAGCATTTAGTTATTCCACAACAGCACTGATGAGGGGAAAAGAAGTTAATTGAAAAATGGAATGAAAACGCTGAATCTTGGGTATGCAATTGAAGCATTGATATTGACAAATTAAAAACTGCAACTTGCTACATCATTCCCAAGCACTGTTAATTTATATATAGGGACACTGTACAGAAGCCTTGTGAAAGAGCCTTTTAGAACGCAAATGCAAATTTTTGGAAAACTGGGCTGGTAATCTACTAGCCATTCATAGAATCATAGAATCAATGAGTCGGAAGGGACCTAGACGGATCATCGAGCCCGACTCCCTGCCATGGGCAGGAAGGAGCACTGGGGGTGGCAGGGGTCATAAGACCCCAGCCAGGTGCCTATCCAGTCTCCTCTTGAAGATTTCCAGGGAAGGTGAGAGCACCACCTCTCTGGGAAGCCTATTCCAGGCTCTTGCCACCCTTACCGTGAAGTAGTTCTTCCTAATATCCTTTTATCATTCCTTTTAGCAAAGAGCTCTGTAAGGATTTTGGCTCAGATTGCCCTGTGCTTTAGTGCTACTGTTTCTGCTAGTGACACAAGGGATGTATCCACATGAGACACTTACCACACAGTAGCTCATTACTACTGCTCAGTAGCATCGCCAGGCATGGACCATGATGTGATGCTACTGCACATTAGTAACAAGCTACTGTGCAGTAAGTGTCACTGGGCAACCATGATACAACACTACTGTGTAGTAACACTAGTTACTGTACAGTCATTTAGTACTTGGTTATGCAAGTACTAAATAACTGTGCAGTAACAATGATGCAGTCAGAGTCTTGTGTAGATGCACTCAAGACCTAGCAAAGTTTACCATGGGAGCATGACCTGAAATACAGGCTTAGAACAACTAAAGCATTGTTATGCCCTGTGGCTGGTGAGGACTGAGAGGAACCAGGTCCATCAAAGACCATTAGGATAACTATATAGCATAATGAAGAGTATCCTTCAAGCTGCTAAATAGCACCAAAAGATGTGGAAACCACAAGCTATATATACAGCTAGCCCAGGATCAAAACAGGGTTAAGGTCACTTTCCACTCTGTGGTCATAGCTGAGATTTGTCTGTTTATAGTTTCATAGTTAATAGGGTCGGAAGGGACCTGAGCAGATCATCGAGTCCAGCCCCCTGCCATGGCAGGAAAGAGTACTGGGCTCAAACGACCCAGCAAGGTGATTGTCAAGCCTTGATTTGAAGACCCCCAGGGTAGAAGCCAGCACCACTTCGCTTGGAAGTTGATTCCAGATCCTAGACACCCTGACAATGAAGTCGCGCCTCCTGATGTCTAGCCTGAATCTCCCCTCTGCCAGCTTGTGACCATTATTTCTAGTCACTCCTGGTCATGCTCAGGGGAACAGAGATTCCCCCAATGCCTGCTGGTCCCCTCTAACTAGTTTGTAAACCGCCACTAGATCCCCCCTCAGCCTTCTCTTGTGGAGGCTGAACAGGTTCAGGTACTGTAGCTTCTTCTCGTGGGGCCTGCCCTGCTGCCCCCTGACCATGCGAGTGGCCTCCTCTGGACCCTCTCCATGTTGTCCACATCCCTCTTGAAATG